CATCGACCTGAGATTACCAGTAAGTTTATAAGTAATAAGTCATGTTTATGTAAAACTAAACAGAATTCTAAAGATATATTATATATATATATATATATATTCCGCTTTTTGTTGGGTACTTCGACAAGATTTAAGCAAAGAGGACTCTTTATACTTTTTTAATTCTCTCTAGCTTTCAATGGACTTTGCCATCATCATCAGGAGCTGCAATTACAATGATAACAGTAGCAACAAAGGTGTAAAATGAATTTAAATTGACTCAACTTACAGTAGTATGTGAGAATGTTGCTAATTGTTGTTTACGCATATGATGAGGGAAACGTCCAGTAACATGGTGAGAGCTGAATAGGTTGCACAATAGTCAAAATTTATACAAAACATGACAAGAACACGTTAAAACAGATTAAAAATTATTTTAAAAATTAGAACATTACATCGTGAAACCACCTGATGATTGCACAAATTAGTGGTCATGGAATGATGAATTGATGAGTGACATGAAACCCTTTGACAGAAGGCCGAAGGATGTCAATGTCAGTATTGAAAGATGGAACGAATTGTGGGCGTGTGCCAAAAACGTTGCCAAATCACTTCAGATGAAGAGATTTACAGAATTTTATGATGGAATTTGTTAAACCGACCAGAGGCAGTTGAATAAACTATATTATTATTAATGGGAATTTAAATTAACAATTATTAATAAATCGTGAGGAGAGAATTATTGTATTTTGAGTGGAATGAAATTTACTGGTGGAAACGGACAAAACACAGATTCTAATTATGGTTGTGAAGAGTTGAAATTTGGGGAGATATGTAAGTTCTCCAATTTTTCGCAGTTTAGCAGATATGAGTAAATGACACTCAGTTGTTTAACATCTGTCTTTTTGTTGATACAGTTGTTATTCATGAAAATGTGGGACATTTCCAGGAATAAACGTTTGGAAAGGTGTTTTTCTTTATCAAGAACTTTGATACTTGTGTAATTCATAGAATGCCCTGTTGTGTTAACATGAGATGCTAGAGCGCATCTTTCAGGATGAAGCCTAGCATCACTTTTGTGTGATGTAATCCTTCCTTTAAGAGATCTGGAGGTCTGACCTATGTATATTTGGTTGCAGTTGTTGCAATTGATGGAGTAGACTGTGTTGGTTAAGCCAAGCAGCGGGACTTTGTCTTTCATTTTTGAAAAAATGCAGTTTATAGTGAGGACGGATTTGCAAGCAATTCGAAAGTTCAAAGGACTGCACAATCTGATAAGCTTAGGGGTCAGTTCCTTGATGTAGGGCAGGACAGCAAAACCAGGTCTGGAGTCCGGGTTGGTGCTAGTACTGTTAGGATTGATGTTATTATTGGGAATTACATCAGTTCCGTTATTGGGGGTTGTGCGACTATTACCTGCATCACCAGAGTTCGGCAAAATATTGGAAGGTGAACTAAAAATGATCTTGTTAATCAGACACTTCGGATAACCATTATTAATGAACAGTTTTGATAGTTTACGTAAATTTGAGGTGTGGAAGGTATTATCTGAGATGCTGATTACCCTTGTTTTCATCTGTTTTACCAAATTGATTTTAATCCCTAGTTTATGGTATGACCTAAAATTGAGAAACCGACCTGAGGCCATAGGTTTCTGGTACCAGTCTACCAATAAACTGTTGTTGTTGGTGCGAATGAGTCTTGTGTCTAGAAAGGGGACAGACAGGTTCTCATCTTCTTTTTCAATGGTAAATTGGATGTAGGGGTCATAGCTGTTGAATTCTCTGACAATACCATCCAGACCTATGGAAGGGAGGCATAAAATAATGTCATCTACGTATTTTTTTATGAAGAAGAGGTTATAGGGTAGTGTCGGAATAACTGTATCAAGCAGATCATCCATAGGTCTGGATGGTATTGTCAGAGAATTCAACAGCTATGACCCCTACATCCAATTTACCATTGAAAAAGAAGATGAGAACCTGTCTGTCCCCTTTCTAGACACAAGACTCATTCGCACCAACAACAACAGTTTATTGGTAGACTGGTACCAGAAACCTATGGCCTCAGGTCGGTTTCTCAATTTTAGGTCATACCATAAACTAGGGATTAAAATCAATTTGGTAAAACAGATGAAAACAAGGGTAATCAGCATCTCAGATAATACCTTCCACACCTCAAATTTACGTAAACTATCAAAACTGTTCATTAATAATGGTTATCCGAAGTGTCTGATTAACAAGATCATTTTTAGTTCACCTTCCAATATTTTGCCGAACTCTGGTGATGCAGGTAATAGTCGCACAACCCCCAATAACGGAACTGATGTAATTCCCAATAATAACATCAATCCTAACAGTACTAGCACCAACCCGGACTCCAGACCTGGTTTTGCTGTCCTGCCCTACATCAAGGAACTGACCCCTAAGCTTATCAGATTGTGCAGTCCTTTGAACTTTCGAATTGCTTGCAAATCCGTCCTCACTATAAACTGCATTTTTTCAAAAATGAAAGACAAAGTCCCGCTGCTTGGCTTAACCAACACAGTCTACTCCATCAATTGCAACAACTGCAACCAAATATACATAGGTCAGACCTCCAGATCTCTTAAAGGAAGGATTACATCACACAAAAGTGATGCTAGGCTTCATCCTGAAAGATGCGCTCTAGCATCTCATGTTAACACAACAGGGCATTCTATGAATTACACAAGTATCAAAGTTCTTGATAAAGAAAAACACCTTTCCAAACGTTTATTCCTGGAAATGTCCCACATTTTCATGAATAACAACTGTATCAACAAAAAGACAGATGTTAAACAACTGAGTGTCATTTACTCATATCTGCTAAACTGCGAAAAATTGGAGAACTTACATATCTCCCCAAATTTCAACTCTTCACAACCATAATTAGAATCTGTGTTTTGTCCGTTTCCACCAGTAAATTTCATTCCACTCAAAATACAATAATTCTCTCCTCACGATTTATTAATAATTGTTAATTTAAATTCCCATTAATAATAATATAGTTTATTCAACTGCCTCTGGTCGGTTTAACAAATTCCATCATAAAATTCTGTAAATCTCTTCATCTGAAGTGATTTGGCAACGTTTTTGGCACACGCCCACAATTCGTTCCATCTTTCAATACTGACATTGACATCCTTCGGCCTTCTGTCAAAGGGTTTCATGTCACTCATCAATTCATCATTCCATGACCACTAATTTGTGCAATCATCAGGTGGTTTCACGATGTAATGTTCTAATTTTTAAAATAATTTTTAATCTGTTTTAACGTGTTCTTGTCATGTTTTGTATAAATTTTGACTATTGTGCAACCTATTCAGCTCTCACCATGTTACTGGACGTTTCCCTCATCATATGCGTAAACAACAATTAGCAACATTCTCACATACTACTGTAAGTTGAGTCAATTTAAATTCATTTTACACCTTTGTTGCTACTGTTATCATTGTAATTGCAGCTCCTGATGATGATGGCAAAGTCCATTGAAAGCTAGAGAGAATTAAAAAAGTATAAAGAGTCCTCTTTGCTTAAATCTTGTCGAAGTACCCAACAAAAAGCGGAAGCTTTAATTTTTCACCTAACTGGTCTAGACGACAATGACCACGTCTCAAGTTATATATATATATATATATATATCATATATAGCTGAAACCATCACCATTGCTGAGAAATCCTCTAAGTTTGATGAACAGCTTTTTGATCAAATAGTACGCATTTTATATAATCAAGCTCAGCTTTACGTATAAGTATTAGTAGAAAAGGGAATTGACATGATCTCTACATTTAATTTGATAAACTATTCACAAGAAAATTCATAACACTTTGTTTCTGGGCCGGTGGGCACAGATAGCTTTCAAAACATATAAAAATGTAATTATTATACTATTTCTTGGGTTATAATATTTTCAGATAATACAGTCACTTTCGAAGATGCAGAAAAGTTTTTAAAAACAGTTATAAAAAATCGACCTAAAAGGAATGAGGGTCAGATCATGCGGTGCTTAAGGATTAAGCGGAGGCAGCAGAGCAGTGGAAGTAGAAATAGGCCATGCCTTCGAATAACAACTCCAACAACCAGTAAAAGTCAATGGTTAGGTGCTCAAGGGCAAAAAGTAGAAATGGAAAGTTTAACTGTAGACTGTCGCAGAAAGGTACAGGCTCTGAGTAAAATTACGGATTTGTCGATATTCCACTTGACGGCTTTGCTTAATTGTTGCATAAGACCTGCAGATAACACCGATATGCTCTAATAGATAAAAAACAATATGGAGGATGCCTTGATCATCAGCCATTTTGAATAAAAAGTACGACCCCACTTGCAAGCAGAGCAATTTTGTAATTTTTAGAAAATAGAAAAATGATAGACATTAGTGTTATTGTGTTTAAATGAGAAATTAATGGAGGTTTTTAACGTAGAGGGGTCGAGAAATTATTTCCCAAATTTACATTTATTTCTGAGCGACCCTTGAATATACATCAAATACGAAGCGCTATAAAAATGCATCGTTATTCTGAGCCATATTCACAATAAATTTGCAGCCCATCTCATCCGATGGTACTACATCTCAATTTAGTAGTTTATAATTGCTGTCTATAATTTACAAGCCCCGGTCCGTCAGTAGATAAGATGGATGTTATTGCGTTTAATTCATAACGACACAGTGGCCTTGCAGTATGATATGTTGCATTTATACAATACGTAAAAATTAGTTCGCTCCAATGAAGCAAAATCATGTAACAAAATGATTGTATAGTTGAGAAATTGAGAGTTACACAGATTTTGCATAGAGAAGTTTTATTCTTGTATTGGGGACTTATGCAGACATTACTTTTAAGCTTTGCATATAGAAACATAGTAGGCCGAGCGGATCAAACGTCAGTACTGAATCTTAACCTCACTCTTTAGTAAACTTAAATTCAAAGTTTCACAACAATACGTACAGTGCAGTGTTCTCACTACAGTGAATTTTTAAGTGTCACCAAGTCATTAGGAAAATGGAACTGAACCGAGAACATTTTCGCGCCATAATTTATTACAACTTTCAAAGAAAATCATCGCAACCAGAATACCTTGCTGAGTTACTGCCTGTTTTCGGCAACAAAGCGCCTCATCAGTCGACAATTTCCCGTTGGTATGGAGAACTCAAACCTGGACGGGTGAGTCTTAGCGACGATCCCAGGGTGGGTGTACCAAAAACGGCAGTCACCCAGGAAAACGTCGATGCTGTGCGCAAACTCATCATTGAAGATAGACATGTGACATATCGTGAGATTGAGGCGTCCTTGAAGACCTCAAAGACCTCAATTCAAAAATTTTACATGAAGAATTAGGAGTAAGTAAATTACTTTCTCGTTGGATAGCCCACCTGCTGACTGAAGAGCAGAAAGCAGCCAGGGTCAATTGGTGTCAAAAAACGCTTGACCGTTTCAATTCCGGAAACTCAAAAAATGTGTACAGCATTGTTAGTGGTGACGAATCGTGGATTCACTGTTATGAATCAGAAAATAAACGACAGTCGGCTGTTTGGGTGTTCCAAGGTGAAGAAAAGCCAACAAAAGTCATCCGTTCTCGAAGTGTTTCGAAAAAGACGGTCATGTCATGTCGCAACAATTCCTCTTAATGAGCAAAGAACTGTTACTGCGAGTTGGTATACCACCATTTGTTTGCTAAAAGTCATCACCAAGCTTCGAAAAATCAACCCCGAAAGAAGAATCATCCTCCACCAAGACAATACAAGCTCGCACACAGCCCAAAAAACAAGGCCGTATTTAACGGAAGAAAACGTGGAATTATTGGACCATCCTCCATATAGTCCCGATCTAAGTCCTAACGATTTCTTTACTTTCCCGAAAATTAAAGACAGACTGCGTGGTCAATGGTTCCAATCACCAGAAGAAGCAGTTGACGCATTAAAAAATGCCGTTTTGGACCTGCCAGCAAACGGGTGGAATAAGTGCTTCGAAAATTGGTTCAAGCGCATGCAGATGTGTATTAATCTTCGTGGAGAATACTTCGAAACACAATAAAGTCATTTAAAACTACCTACCGTGTTTTTTTATTTCCATATGAAAAACTTAAAAGACATCCCTCGTACAGGTTCTAAAGGGATGTCACTACACACTGCTATTAAGGTTCCTTAGTCGCTGCAAGAATATTTACCCATATGTCAAACAACTATTGTCTGCAGCTTTTATACAGCCTCTTAAGGGATTGAAATGCTGGATATGGTGTGACCATTCCGAGTGTATAGCTGTTGTAGTAACGTTTTGCTAGTGTTTTTGCAGCTTGGAAAGCTGTATAAAAAATACTGCAAAAACGTCTTTACAACCCTAATAGGAGTGAACATTTTTAGTTGGGTGAGTCAGTTGAAATGCTCTTGGCGGCGCAGACAGTCTGTTACGCTGAAGTACTCTATTTGATCACTGATTAGATTTAATTATTATAATTTGTTGCTTCGACTTCCCATTCATGTACATTTTGACTGAACACCCTATCGTGGACCGTCAAATTTCTTGTTACACACGTAATGAACCCAGCGCAAAACATTTTGTAACAAATTTTCCCAGTAATCCACAGGATAAGAGGGAAACATGCATTTAGGTCCCCAGAAGGACACTCCAATAAGGTAAAGAACATACCTATACAGGGTGTCCCAGAAGTCGACGTCAAGCCGAAACCGGGTGATAGGCAAAGTCATAACAGCTATCAGAAAAATATTCAAAAAAAAATTATGTATCTGTTTTGAAAATTATAGGTCTTTGAAAATGATATAGAAATTTCACACCGTACGGCAGTCTGCCAACTCCTGTTACTATAAATATTAACTTTTTTTGGATTTTATTTTTACAATGTAATGATGAATAATGCATCTTCAAACTGGTGTCTCAACCTTACTGCCAACTTTTCTCGTTTAGGAAAAATTGCCACTTATTTCCCAACCAAGTATTCCAAAATAAAACTTTGCTCAACTTTAACTGGCTGTACTGGAAAAAAATGTACTACGAGAGCTTGGCAAGTAACCTTAAAAGTTGGCGCATTTAATAACGATTCCAAAATGGTATAACACTTAGAAGATTACTCGTTAACTTATGCACAATTTTTATTTGAAAAAAAACTGATGAAAATTTTTAAAAATTTTCTAATTAAACAGCGATTATGAAAACGCACAAGGACCCTTAAGGATAACTGTTTGCACAACAGTAGGCGTCAAAATGCTGCTGATGATGATTTACCTATACAGCAAATGCTCAAACTGTGTTCCTTCAGCCGCAATACACGCTCGACATCTTCTTAAAAAAGATCGGGTTATTAAACGAGCGAATCCACGGTTATTAACAAACTCAGCTGCTTCCAGCAGTCAAAGTCTCTGGGAACTCAAACGGACCGATTATTTTACCATTTAAAATTCCTGTCCAATGGTTTATCTTGAAGCGATATTGAGATTTATCTTCTCTCATCAAATGTGGGTTTGCTACGTGCCACTCGTGTAAGTTATGCAGGTTCATGTACGCATCTTTCTTAAATGTGGTCTCATCCGACCATAAAATTTTTTCAAAGAACTGTGGATCTTTCCTGTGTCGTTCTAACATTGTGCGTCAAAAAGCAACTCGGGGCTCATAATATCGGGGCAGGAGAGGTTGAACACGCTGTATGTGGTATGGATGAAGCACATCACTTACTTGCTATTGCACACTTTGATACCGATCAGTACTCCTTCGTTTACTGCGCATCTTTACATGTTCGAGCTTGTTGATTTCGTACTGTTACTAATTTTGGATTCGTGAACTGGACTGTTAATCGCTTGTGATTTGGATTTGGACTGTTTAATTGCTCTTCAAAACTACATTTGCTTTCCTTAGACTATCTCTGATAGTATGATTGCAGATGCAACGCTAGTGATGCAGCGAGACTTTACTGTGAGAGGTACCCGAATGCAGCTCGTCATCCAGATCATCGAGTGTTCACAAATGTGCACCGCTTACTGTTCTCAGAGGGCCAACTACCAAACGAATCACACGGTGAGGGAAGATCTTTCCTTCCTTACGAAGACGTGGTGCTAGGAGCTGTCGAAGAAGACCCGAGTACTTCAGTGCGTGCAATAGAACTAAAAACAGGTGTGCCCAAAAGTACAGCCCATAGAATCTTGCAAAAAAACGTGCTCCATCCATACCACGTACAGCGTGTTCAAGCTCTTCTGCCCCGGGATTATGAGCCCCGAGTTGCTTTTTATCGCACAATGTTAGAAAGACACAGCGAAGATACACGGTTCTTTGAAAAAATTTTATGGTCAGATGAGACCACATTTAAGAAAGATGGGTACATGAACCTGCATAACTTACACGAGTGGCAAGTAGCAAACCCACATTTGATGAGAGAAGATAAATCTCAATATCGCTTCAAGATAAACCATTAGACAGGAATTTTAAATGGTAAAATAGTCGATCCGTTTGAGTTCCCAGAGACTTTGACTGCTGAAGTTTATTTGGATTTTTTGAAAAATCATGTACAAAATTTACTGGTGGACGTGCCACTGAGTATTTACAGGGACATGTGGTTTCAGCATGATCGCTGCCCAGCGCACTATGCACTCTCAGTGAGAGAGTATCTCGATCAAAACTTTCCAGGCAGATGGATAAGGCGGTCTGGTACAATACCGTGGCCAGCCCGATCACCTGATTTGAATCCTTTAGATTTTTTTACTGGGGAACTGTAAAAGAAAAAGTGTATTTCAAGCCGATTCAAAATGTAGCTGAGCTACGGCAAAGACTATTGGAAGCAGCTGAGTTTGTTAATAACCGTGGATTCGCTCGTTTAATAACCCGATCTTTTTTAAGAAGATGTCGAGCGTGTATTGCGGCTGAAGGAAAACAGCAGCATTTTGACGCCCACTGTTGTGCAAACAGTTATCCTTAAGGGTCCTTGTGCGTTTTCATAATCGCTGTTTAATTAGGAAATTTTATAAAATGTTCATCAGTTTTTCTTCAAATAAAAATTGTGCATAAGTTAACGAGTAATCTTCTAAGTGTTATAGCATTTTGGAATCCTTATTAAATGCGCCAACTTTTAAGGATACTTGCCAAACTCTCGTAGTACATTTTTTTCCAGTACAGCCAGTTAAAGTTGAGCAAAGTTTTACTTTGGAATACTTGGTTGAGAAATAAGTGGCAATTTTTCCTGAACGAGAAAAGTTGGCAGTAAGGTTGAGACACCAGTTTGAAGATGCATTATTCATCATTACATTGTAAAAATAGAATCCAAAAAAAGTTAATATTTGTAGTAACAGCAGTTGACAGACTGCCGTAGGGTGTGAAATTTCTATATTTTTTTCAAAGACCTATAATTTTCAAAACACATACATAAAATTTTTTTAAATACGTTTCTGATAGCTGTTATGACTTTTCCTATCACCCGGTTTCGGCTTGACGTCGACTTCTGGGACACCCTGTATAGTTGCAAAAGTGCGTACCAATGGTGAGATGGATAGAGAAAAAGAAATAGCGGGAGTTACTACCAATGATCATTCTTCGATATAAGTGCCAGTCCGTTGAGAGGTCGCGAGTTATTAAAATAGTAGCATCTATCGTGGACATTGTAAAACGACTGGTTGGGTAACGGTCCGAAAAACTAGCTCTCGCCTACGAAACACGGTACCAACTGATCATTAGGTTCTATGAAAGATTAGTAGATGGCAGTAGCGAGGCACGTGAAGCTGATGTAAAAAAAGGTTGAGTCAAGTAGGCTGACTCGGTACTTCTATTGAACTGCAGCTTACAAAAAAGCCAATAGGATAAGAGCAGCTCTCACGCATTAACTTGTTTAAGTTGAAGGAGTACAAAACCAAAATATTTTTCTTAACATCGTCGACTTTGCCGAAACCTGTGAAGAATAATAAAGAAAGACCGGGATATCTTGAATTTGAGAAATAAAGTCTAATAAGCTGTCTTACAACTGTATTATATTCTTGATTCTATATGAAAAGGTCCCTCATCAACAGTTACAAAAATTTTGCTAGGTAACTTTATCTAAGTTATAAAACGTATTTTTTCACCTATTTCCAAACAGCTACGAATTAATGATGTAAGTGGTCCAGGAAAAGTTATAGCAGGTAAAAGTATCTAAATTGAGACCCTACACGGGTAACTTGCTGGTCCGCACGGGTATTATGTAAAAAAACTATAAAACCTAGTCTGCAAGATGACATCTTATAAGATCTTATAAGGTAGTTTTTAGGATACAGTCATTCCACGTTTGCTCACTAGGATCATTGTGAGCGTCTATCTATGGAGGAATGGCTCAACTACACGTACACGTATTGTTCATTGCATATATTTTCTGAAGCCTAGTGGTCTGTAGTTTTCATGTCTGAGTCTCTGAGAGGAAAGCTGGTTATTTGGCTATAGCAAGATCGCGTCTAGATGATTGCGTATATTGGTCTGCATGTGTATAAAATCAGTGATACTTGCTTTGTGGGAAAATCATCAATAAATATGCTGCCGATGAAGTATATCTATTAGCTGTGCCCGACAGGTTATGTATATGTTGTGCTTTCCGAACACAGGTTATGTTCAAAGTTATCAATTACGAATTACTGTTAGCATGTATACGACTTGTAATTCGACAGTGTCCAGTGAATATAATTACTTCTTATTTCTCTCATTTTTGAAATTCAGCAAATTTGCATATGTAATTTCGAGAATGGATAAGAAAAAGTGGATACGCAACTTATTTCTCGCTTTGACTCTCAAGTATGTGTATTTGAGACAAGAATCCTATGGAATTATCATCAACAAATATTATTAGCACACAAATCCTCACTATGCCGTTACCTCCAGTAATACAAACATTGCCAACTGAACCCTCATGACATTTAGGCTACACGTAGAACTACAAAACGAGCTTACAAAACTGTCGATCAGCTAGTGCTAAGTTAACATCTTGTCGAAAAGCCAACATAATGTCAAAGAAAATCAGGATAATGTCGAGAAAAATCGATATAACGTCACTTTTCAAGATACGTAATACCCGT